AACGTACCAGTGCAGCCACGATATTTCATTACTGATAGCAAGATTTTCTAGGTGTTCAGTTAGCTACATAAGATAACGTCTATTGTTCCTTAATTATAACACAGATCTGCTGAGAGTTGGAAATAGAAATTTAATTAAAAATTGAATGAACAAACTACATGGCTCAAGCAAGGCTTGTTCTTTCTTCAAATGGAGAGTAGACTGTATGTAAAAATAATGCAAATGAGATACCTTGTTTTTCCTTAACTAAATTAAGGGGAAATATCTTTATTTTTAAACACTTTCATTCAAAATTGGCAACCGTTTAAACATTGTAGTTTAAACTGTTAGCATTTTCTTTGTAACAAGAGATAGAACCGACATCCTTCCCTGCGGCACCTTGTGAGGCATCCTTCTTCTCCTCAGGAAGATCATGTGCTAGGATCAAGACAAATGCAGAAAAGGAATAGTACAAAGTTATGGGAGGGATCCTAACAGCTCTAGGAGTGATTGTGCATCCAATACAGCTGGGTACATGGTGTGGCTGTGTGAGTCTCAATCCCTGTGGAGGATAATGCTAACCAAAACCATGAAATGGCACCTTGCAGTACAGTGGCTAGGGTTCAAATGCCTGATCAGCCATGAAACCTGATTGGTTGCTTATGATCATATTATTAGTTTTTTGATTATTTAAATTAGTATACCTACACGTTTCTCCCAAAAGATGTCACAGGGTGTAAGACTGTGGAATAGTATTCAGAAGTGTTGGGAAAGCAGAGGGTCAATGGGTGGGGGAAATAACAAATAATCAGATCCCTTAATTGACTAAATTTGTTGTTGTTGTTCAGTCGCACAGTTGAGTACGACTCTTCGCGACCCCATGGACCATATCCCGCCAGGCCTTCCTGTCTTCCGCTGTCCTCTGAAGTTTGCTCAACTTCATGTTCGTTGCATCGATGACACTGTCTAACCATCTCATCCTTTGCCGTCCCCGTCTTCTTTGACCTTCAATCTTTCCCAGCATCAGGGTCTTCTCCAATGAGTGCTCCCTTCTCATTTGGTGGCCAAAGTATTTGAGCTTCAGTTTCATTATCTGGCCTTGACTAAATGGGATATTCCTAAATTATACCAACTTACAAGTTACTTCCTCCAGTCTTGAAATTATCCCCTAATACCAGGTAGATAAATGTGTGGGAGTTGTGTGCAATGAGGGAAAAGCAGTCTGCGCAAGTGCAGAGTCTTGGCAGTCTTAGCATTCAGAAAATTGATTATTCTGATCAGCGATTTTTATCACTGCTGGTGGTCCTGTCCATTAATTCAATCTTTCTGGGAGCAAATACTAGATGAAATCAGCAAAATCACATCTCAGAGACTTCAAATGAACCCTAATACAATACTATTACACTTAGTAGATGAAGATGATCAGGAGGCTAAATTATCTACTCTCACCTCTACACTATTAGCCACAGCTAGACTGACACTTGCAGCTGCATGGAAGTCACCAAATCCACCATCTATAGCTATGTGGAGAGAAAAATGCTGGGAACATTTTGTAATGGACCGTATTGCCAATGCTTTTGAAGAGAAGCAACCCAGAAAACCGATCACACACTCCAAGTTTGTTAAAACTTGGTTCCCACTTATTCAGTACATGACAGAACAAGAACTAATACCATCCAACCTTGCATATATTGAATGGCTTCGTTTCTAGCAGTAGGTAAGGCTTAGTTTGAGCACCTTATTATTCACCTAGCACATTAAAAACACATAACACACACATAGAAGTATACTTTGCTTATGATTTGAGTTTGTGCAATTTGACGACAGCTTATTTATTTTTGTACTTATGTTTACTTTTGTATTACAGTACTCGTTAACAAAAAAAAGATGCTGATAGTTGTATAAATTGTTTATCTCATCTTGAATAAAAAGTTTTTTTTAAAAAAGAAAATTGATTATTCTTGGCACAGATTTATTTAGATCAGAGGTGTCAGACTCATTCATTATGAGGGCCAGATGTGACATGTGACTTTGTCGGGCCGGGCCATGTGTGCCATAAAATGTAATGACAGGTACTGGAGATATAAGCTGTACAAAGGACAGCAGCTCGTAGCTCCAAGTTGGTGTATCCTCACTGCAAAGGCCCTATGGGCTGGGAGGGGGTATAGACGAAAACCCAAATGGGTGGACTGGAGAGCCAGTGGTGCAGCACTGGGCAGATGCTCCCACGCTACTTGACTGCTGCAGGCAAGGTTGTTCTGCCGTGCTGAAGCCACAATCCAAGTGGCTCCACCCACTCCACTCCCCTCCCCGAGCAATCTTCTGTTCTCTCCCTTGCACCAGTTGCTCACGGGCCACATAAAAGCCCTGGATGGGCCGGTTCTGGCTCCCAGGTCTTATTTATTTATTTGTTCATTTTATTACATTTGTATCCCGCCCTCCCTACAAGTGGGCTCAGGGCGGCTCACATCTATCGGCAACATGTGCCGAGTCAGCATAAAACATTTAAAAGCAAATTAAAACAATCATACAGTAAACAAATAACAATTTAGTGCTCGCAATGGTGGTCATTCCTTCAATAGATTAACAGTGGCATGTTATAGAATGTAGTTCTAAAATCCTGATTCAGTGGTATTCCGGCCTCCCACACCCCTGATTTTGATCATCCCAAATACTTATTTTTCTGTAGGTGATGGTCTTATTATGGCCTCTCAGCCCTTTGGCCTTCTGTTATAAAGCACTTCTTTTTCTGTTGTGAAGGTTTCTGTGCATGATGCCTCTTCAGTCCTCTAGCCCTAGTTTCAGATGTTTGGGTGTGTGGGGGGGGGGATTGACAGTAGTTCTTTGTTGGTAAGTAAAATTCACTCTGAACATGCTCAGAGGCATGCATTGATCTTTTCACAAGCAAGTTTTAGCATGGTGGTTTGCAATTCTTGACTAAAATTAGATATCGGGCTGGGTGAAACTGGATGTTCATTTTCTTTACTCCCACTTCCTCCCATTGGCAACCCCAGAATGCAGTATGAATCTCACTCCAGTTTTCTACCTTAAATTCTGACTCATCACTGTTGAGATTACGTTTGCCAGATCTGGGATGGAAAATCCCTGGAGACTTTGGGGGTGAATCCAGGAGAGGGCAGGGTTTGTGGAGGGGAGGGGCCTCAGCATGGTACAATGCCATAGAGTCCACCTTTCAAAGCAGCCATTTTCTCCAGGGGAGCTGATCTCTGTCATCTGGAGATCAGTTGTAAAAGCGGGGGATCTCCAGGCCCCACCTGGAGGCTGGCAACCCTAGTTGAGATTAAAGATGACATAAACAAGCAAGAAAGAATCACTGGATCTAGGGGGAAGAGGAGATGGGACAGAGCAGAAGATGATGAATTTGGCCAAGAAGGGATTATTTGTCCCAGCTTCTTCAGCTGGCTTGAAGAAGAGACCATCCAATCTCTTCTTCTAATTTGGTCAAGAAGGGATTGCCTGTCCCAGCTCTTCAGCTGGCTTGAAGAAGAAGAGAAGAGACCATCCAATCTCTTCTTCTTCTAATTTGGTCAAGAAGGGATTGCCTGTCCCAGCTCTTCAGCTGGCTTGAAGAAGAAGAGAAGAGACCATCCAATCTCTTCTTCTTCTAATTTGGTCAAGAAGGGATTACCTGTCCCAGCTCTTCAACTGGCTTGCAGCTGCCTCTTCCCCATTCCTTCATAGGTAGTCTGGATAAAAACTACTACAATACTACATACAACCCTTTCCTTCCAAATATCTTCATAGTTTTAAAATAATAATAGTGTGTTGCCAAGTTGGAAATGACTCATGGTGACTCCAGGACAATGGGGTTTTAAAAGCAAGAGACAAGCAGAGGTGGTTTGCCACTGCCTTTCTCTGCACAGCAATGCTGAACTTCCTTGGTGATCTCCTATCCAAGTACTAACCATAGCCAAGATACAATAACTAAGTGCCATTAAGTCACAACCAATTTACGGTGACCCCCTCATGGGATTTTTAAGGCAAGAGATGAGCAGAGGTGGTTTGCCATTGCCTTCCTTGGCATAGCAACTCTGGTCTCCTTAACTACTAACCATGGCCAGTACTGCTTAGCTTTCCAAGCTCTGGAAAGATCAGGCTAGTCAAGACTATATAAGACCCCAGAAATGTTATGCTGAAAACACCTTATTTTGAAACATACAATTAATTAATGTTATGAAATTTCAAACAGAAAATCTTTGCTATCATAGGGAAATCAGCAAAGTCAAGTGGGATCAGATCAAAAGCCATCAAGTGTAGCATCTCCAATAATGGATAAGCAGATGCTCTCTGGAAGCATCTGGGAAATTATTAGATTAAAGAAGTGCAAAATTTGTCTCTAGTGTACAAGTTCCATCCAGTTTTAATGTGAACCCAGTGAAGCTTCTATCATTTTGTCCCACTGGATGTGATAAATTAGGCTCTTGTCAATGGCTAGAATCCAAAAAGCTACTTTAGCATTACCCAAGAGATTGGTCATGGCCAGTGGGATTTTTGGCTTCCTTTCCTTTTAAACACTCATCCAACATGTCATATCACAAATGGTTTTATAAAAGCCTCCTTAGTTTTAAGAGTGGGGGCTGTTGGGCTGCTGCTGTTTCCAAAATGCAAACTCAAAGCCTCCTCGGGGCATATGAAACAAGTTAAATAAAGTGCTGAAGGAGTACTATATTGTTTTTGCTATTCAGACTAGCTTGGCTATTCCTATAGTGTTAGTTTATTTTTAACAGATGCTATTCTATAGATTAAAATATTAAACAATATCCCTAGAGTGCCCCTAATTTTCGAATTAAACATTTTCACATTTCCTTATTTTATTCTGACTGTTCTAACACATAAACAACAAAATCAACGGTATTATCAAGACAAATGTCCTTATTACCCAACACAAGAATCATAATAACACTGGGAATCTGGAAAACATACAATTCTGAACCTTGCAGCAGTGTAATCATCATTATAATTTAATGTGTATTACAGTGGCATGCATTATTCAAACTTACTTAGTTCTGTCTGACCATCTTGGCTTAGTCCGCAAAGAAGGGCCATCACAGCTAAAAATGGAACTGGTTTCAGAATCTTGTTAAGCAGCCAATTACCTTTCTTTCTCAGTCTGTATTTTAGCTTGGAACTTGTCCACAGGCATTAAAATTCAGGCTTTATATTCTGGATGTTTCCAACTATTTAGAAGGACTAATCTATATAAATCCTTAGCAGTTCTTACAGTTGGATCAAATCAAAATCCTGATTTTTCTTAGGATTCACCCAGGTCCTTTATATCTAATGAACAGCACCACCAATGGCTGTGACTACAGAAAGAGTTCTAGTTTAGTATACAGATACACTAATTTGCCATGTGGCAGCAATATTTCTATATCTGTCTTCTTATTTCAGTCATATAAACAGTTAATTTATTTGTGCCGGAGTGCCAAATTTATGGAGGAACATGGTATAGTTCAGTAGTCTCACAAATGATACTTTTAACTTGTGAGATATAACTCTATGAATGTAAATACAGCTTCTCAACTTTGTATCTGTACAGCTATTTTAATAACCACTGGTGGCTAATTTTAAACAGAGCAACTGCTTTTATTATCTTCTACAGAGTTTTGCTTCTGCACTGCACCCAGCTGCTAGTCTAAATTTAATAAGGTTATGGGCAAACAGAAACCAATGCATAACAGATTCTCTGCTTTCAGCATTGCAGCAGAGTTTGCTGACTGGGCCATTAGGAATGCACTGCTAAAAATCAAAAAGAATACTTAAGCAGGAGTTTAACGTATCCTGTTTAATGCAACTCTAAAAGAAAAATCTATAGTGTTTTATCTATGAACGATTGACAATTAAGCGATATTGTAAATGTGATGTGAGTTCTTAGGGTCAACTCACTGAACTCAGAGTATGTCTGAGCCACACAACGAATCTGGTAGTCACTATGCCTGGTGTTAAAGTCCTGAACCACAATTCTAGCCAAAGCAAACAACTACAGGAATCCAACCGGATCAGCCAGGAAAGACCTTACGAGCAAGAGTTACTACAGGGCTCCATCATAAAGACTGGCTATTTCATGCTGACATGTATTAAGGGCGTGATCCTAAGAGCTGTAAACTGTGTAGGATACCAACTAACCCCCACATTGGCATAACAAGAAGATATTCCAGTATAAAATCTGCTAATGCAACTCTACTATAAACTCCATACCAGCATGGCTGTATCAGAGCATATCTACATATTCTAGCTGGGAAACCCTCATCTCAGATGAGAGAGCATGTGATAATGGGGCTACATCTCTCTGGCCACATGTGCATGCATATAACACACATAATAGGAAAGGGTATTTTGTACTAAAAGGAAGCACTCTGCATGAACAGTCAAGGAGGAGAACAAACACTGTTATAGCCAATTGCTTACATTGTTCTGGGCAACCTTCACTGCTGCAAATGTCTCCTCCTCCACACACACACCATACACACTTGTATGCACTGTGTATTGGCTCAGCAGTTTGCTAGCAGTGTTTCCTACATGGAGGGCACAGAGTAGATTTTCACACTGCAAAAAAGGGGTGGGGGTTCCACTTGGAGCTGTACTAGCATAATATTACCATGATGCCATGCTGCTAAATCTCCACATACTCCACTGGGATTACAGCCAGATTTCTGAGAGATTTTCAGCTACTCTGGCCATTATTCCCATTAGCCAGCTACGTTTAGCTTTGCAGAATCACAGCCCCATGGGGCAGCATAAACAGCAGCTGTAGAGAGTGCTAATGAAACTTCATACAAGGGGTGGATAAGTAGTGTTCTAGGATGTCACTACACCATCACAGGTGAATTCTGAAGTGTGGGAATCTCCAGGGAAAGGAAAGGAGAAATAGGAACTGGATGAACACCTAGGCGGTCATATTATTATACAAAAGTTTTTAACTTGCTTTTTCATATGGGAGGATTTTCCCCGTGAAACTGATGGGTTGAGGGCGGATTAAATCGGCGCGATCAGATGCCAACATCTGGCACGCGTCGCGCACCCGTCCCTTCTGGCCGAAGATGCAGATCTAAAAGCAGGGCTATTTTGGGGCAGGAACGCACAGGAACGGAGTTCCGGCTGGCTTCAGAGCTGGCCACGCCCACTACAGCCAAAACCTCTCTGGGTGTGGCTACAGAGGGAAGGCCTGGAAAGCGGGCCCCCCCCCCCCTGGCAACTCCAAGGCGAGCGGGCAAGGGGGCCCCAGGCCTGTCCAAGGGCTGGCTTGCCTGGGCTCCCTGCAGCCAGGGGGCACCTGGGCAAGCCAAGGGAAGGCATGGGGTGTGGCCTAATATGCGAACGAGGTGCACTGTCCGAGGTGTGGCCTAATATGCTAATGGGTTACTGCTGCTGGGTGTGGCATGTTATGCTAATGAGTTCTTGCTGGGCTTTTTCTACAAAAAAAGCCCTGTCTAAAAGAGAATAGTGAAAGGGCATTACCTACCGGATGACGCGCAGCAACGGCGGGTGTGGGATCGCCAACGCGCGGTTATCCTGTACTATGCGTGGTAATGGTGAAGTGTGCATGCGCACAACTGCTGCGGCTGGCCCTCCTCGCCCTTCTTAGAGTCGCTTTCCCTGCAGCATGTGATCGCGGCTGCCAGCAGAAGCGCAGAGCCTCGGGGACCTGTTTGATCCCGCTGCCGCGCTTCTGTTTGTTCTGGCTCTAAAAAGCCATACTTCTGCCACGGCTTTTCCCGCTCGTGTGACCGGGGCCATAGTATTTATCTGAATTTGCAGCCTGATTCAGCCAATAGATTTGGAGAACTTAATTACATTTTAAAGCCAATAAAAAGGAAAATACTACATTCAGACATACAATACTACATTCTGACATAGAGCCAGTATGGTGTAGTGGTTAAGTGCACGGACTCTAATCTGGGAGAACCGGGTTTGATTCCCCACTCCTCCATTTGCAGCTGCTGGATGACCTTGGGCAAGCCATAGTTCTGGCACAGCTTTTCTCTCAAGGACAGTTCTGGAAAGAGCTCTCTCAGCCCCACCTACCTCACAATGTGTCTGTTGTGGGGAGGGGAAGGGAAAGGAGTTTGTAAGCCGCTCTGTGGATGGGTCCTGCTGGGCTGCACCACTTTTGCACAGCCGCACATGCTTGCTTTGCTTAGCTACCATGGGTAACATAAGCCCCCCCCGCGAACTGGCTCAGCCAGACAGTGCTATCGGTATAACCTTGAAGGGAAGGGAGGGCTTGAATTCCACTATGGGTGTGAATATTTCTGCTCTCAAGGGATTGGGGTGAGTCTCAAATTCATGATGTAATATCCTGCCAGGAGAATTCCCGCCCATGCGCTTGGAGATACAGCATTAGAGTATATGTATGGAACCCAATGTACCTGTACCACTTGGCAACAGACCAGTATTCCAATAAAACATAGCCTTTCAGGAGAGTGTGTTTGGACCTGCTTGCTGTTGACCCTGACAGAGACTCTGAGTGAAGGGCAGGGTCTAAATCCAATCTCCTCCTCCTCCTCCTCTTCTTCTTCTTCAAAACATGTATGGTATTAGAGATACTACATTCCAATACAGCTAAGAAGACTGTGTATTACAGATTTAACATGTAACTTGCTTGTTCCCTGAAGTGTATGAAGTAGATAAGCATTACAATGTATTGTTTTTTTTTATTTCCAGCATAGGTACACAGCTTTTAACAAAAATGAAAGTCCTCAATGCTGTTCAGACAAAACAGTTTAAAATTATTCAGTACAGAACAGTTAACCAGTCAAACCTCTGGATTTTTACATATCTTTGAAGATAAAAAAGGGGATCTAAAATTAATATCTCAAGATGACACTTCACAGACCCAGAATCACAACCCCAAAGCCCTGCTTCTGGTACAATTCAGGAAAAACTTACTGCAACACCCAAGTAACTGTAACAAGCTGAAGAAAAGTTGGTCTCCAATAGGAATGTGCACATGAAAAAAAATTCAATATATATTTGGATTTGGATATCAGGAAGCATGTAAATGCTGGTATTCTGGATTTTTGGGGCCCCTAACACCATTTTGGAATTTGGATTCAGCTTCCCCCCCCCCCCAACAAAAATTATGAAATTGGAGGGAGGGGTCTATTGTTCTCTATAGGGGAAACTTTGAGAGTCTGTTTTTCAAGCAAGTGCACCAAATTTGCAGGGAGCCTAATCCTGACTTTCCACTAAAGATCTACCAAATCTCAAGTGGTTTGAATCAAGAGGTCCAATCAAGGGGCCCCTGAACAAAGTCCCCCGAGCAATGCTCCTTGTTTCCACAGTATGCTTCGGGGGGAAAGTCCATGCTTTCTCTTGGGCAAAGAAGCCAATAGCCAAACTATGACGCCCTCCCCAATCCACTTCCCTCCCTCAGGGGCAAGATTTTCCCTCCATTTTTCTTTCCCTTTCTGACTGTGGTCTGTTTTCTTCTTTACTGAAGAACTCTGGCTGTCCCACCCTGTGTCAGTGTGATATTTTACTGCTGACTCAGCCCAGGAACCTGAGAAAAGTGTCAGAATCACTTGAAAACTTGAAAATGGCACTTGAGATGTTTCAAAATTCAAAATTAACAAAAAAATATTCAACAGAGTGAAATCAGGAGTTGAAATTTCTTTTTTTTTTAATGCCCCCAGAGGGGATTTTTTACCGCATTTTTAATAGACCACAAACTACAACAAAAAATTAGGAAAGGGCGGACTTCCGGTTTTGGCAGCGCGAATTCAGAGTCCTTCAGCCTTCATTTTGTCTTATCTTTTCTAATCCTCAATTTATATATACATTTAGGGGCAGCCGCCCCCTTCTTGGAAAAAGAGTCCTCGTCGGAAGACACTGAGTCCAATTCGCCACTGGATTTGCTGTCATCTTCTTCCTTCTCGACCTCATCTGTCTCTCCCAGCTGCACTCTCAGGAACTTACGTGCTTTGGAACCAAGTCAATCTTTTCTTTTTTATCGTGTAGTTTGAAAATGACAAATTCTGGAATTAACCATCTGTAAACAATGCTATTTGTTTGTAGAAAAAGGATTAAATCTTTATATTTCTTTCTCTTTT